TGAAGGGGGGTGATGTCACCGTATCATATATCTGGAGGGGGGTGATGTCACCGTATCATATATCTGGAGGGGGGTGATGTCACCGTATCATATATCTGGAGGGGGGTGATGTCACCGTATCATATATCTGGAGGGGGGTGATGTCACCGTATCATATATCTGAAGGGGGGTGATGTCACCGTATCATATATCTGGAGGGGGGTGATGTCACCGTATCATATATCTGGAGGGGGGTGATGTCACCGTATCATATATCTGGAGGGGGGTGATGTCACCGTATCATATATCTGGAGGGGGGTGATGTCACCGTATCATATATCTGGAGGGCGGTGATGTCACCGTATGATATATCTGGAGGGCGGTGATGTCACCGTATGATATATCTGGAGGGGGGTGATGTCACCGTATCATATATCTGGAGGGCGGAATGTCACTGTATAATATATCTGGAGGGCGGAATGTCACTGTATAATAGTGACTATTTAGAGGTAAGTTGCATAATCCATCAGGTGGTCATTGTCTGCTCCTTGTGTGGACAGGATACAATGTAATGACACTCTCCCCAGCCATAGATACATGAAGTTACTTCGTTGCTATGGGTAACACGTGTCAGTCTCCGTGTCCCAGCACAGCCCGGTGTGGCTCTGGGTCCATCTGGTGGCCGAGGCTGGGATTGCAGCCTGTGTCTGTATTGAGTCAGATCCTCGCCAGTGACGTCATCTGCGATAAAGTTACAATGTATCATAGTGGAAGTGTTTCCTCCATCATGTGTAGCGAATAGGAAATCAATGAACTCATTTGGATACTACAATGAAAACATTCCGGATCTGCGGGCTGGTGGCGCTCTCCTACAGAAATGACAGACGGTACATAAATCGGCGACGATGCCGGGTGTTTGGGCGGATATTTTCGCACGTCTCACGGTGAATCCCGTTCGGGGAACCCCGTCCAAGTCTCGGAGACAATTTACAAAACGGATGTAGGAGCGACCCAGATGGGACTCGAACCCACAATCCCCAGCTCCGGAGGCTGATGCCTTATCCATTAGGCCACTGGGTCACTGCATGTTTGCCAGCCCCAGCAACGTCTCTTACGGCTGGCGAATCACTAAGCGCTCTGTGGACCCCGCCCAGATGCATTTTTTAGCCAATCAGCTCCGTCGTTATGGCAACAGCAGCGCAGGAGGCGGGAAACACACCACAGGTTGGAGGTGACGCGGGCGGCCATCTTGTTTCCTCACACAGAGAACATGGCTGATTGAGCTCAGTATGTGACTACAAATAATAACGTTTTATTTTCATTCTAGCTTTAAATAGAGTGTACGGGAACGCCTGACATATTCTTATGTCATGTCCTCCGGGGTCCCCCATCTCCCAGGGTGGACCCCCTTATGTAATGTGCATGTGCACCCCCCTACTGGCATTGATGGGTAGAGGAACCCTGATGTCAGCTATGACAGGTACTCTTTACGGCTGTTAAGGCATCAAAGTGAACCCGTCATGATAACCTCCTTCGTTCATACTGGCCCCTGGGGGCCCCACAGGAGTCAGTTCCCATATCCCAGAATCCACTGCTGGTCCGTCATTCATTATGGCTCACAATCAGAGAATCTCAGGGGAGATTCATATCATATCACCACCAGTGACAGGTCCTCTTTGGTCACTATTTTGTACAGACACTGGAATAGGAAATTCGTTTGTGACCCCCTGGGCAGATTTCACCTCACGTCCTGTACGGGGGACACCAAGACAGGGACTTAAACTAGAACAGTAAGATGCAGACAGGTTCTGTTAACCATGGACCCGAAGGTTGATGTATGTTTAATACATTTGCGATGAGCCCCGCCCCCTAACAATATCTGTACCTCGCACACACGTGACCGGTTCTCTTTAGTCGTACTCGCTATTCGGGGTTGTCACATGTTGTTGGTGTGGGCGATAGGAGGAGGGGAGTGCGCACAAATCGTCCCGGCAGACGCAGGGTTAATCTCGCGGGAACGCAGCCGGCTTCTTTTAAAGCGCCCAATGAGCGTCGTGCTTATCCTCGAACCGGCCAATCAGAGCACGGCTGGGGCGGACATTTAAACCTGGGAGCCGGCAGCACGCCGCACTCGTTGTCCGGCTGGAGGTGAGTGAGCACGTGCTGTGGTTCGGTGCTTGTGATCCGGGTGGTTCTTTACGCTTTTAGCTGAGCTGTGAGTTGGCCACCGGTGTTCTGGTTCCGGTACTGACAGCTGGGTAGTATAGGTTATACTGGGTGGTGTATTTAGATGTGGGGATCACTCTGCGGTTGGGGTCATGTGACAGTTCCTGGTGGTTTGTTGGGTCTCTATATCCCAGTAACTGACACTTCTCTACCAGGGATGGACTGGAATGGGGC